TAGATCCAAACTAGAATGGAATCCTAGAACTAAACTATGATTAGAAGTTCTCAGACTGCCGGATCTACATTTTAGTGTTGTCCCAAATACCTGGTAGGTCTAAAAAAGAACTGCCCACCAGTTAAGTTGTACCTGGTAGTCCAGTAGCTTCCGTTAGTGTGTGTTGGGATCACCCGAGACCCCCTATGGAGGTGGGGAAGTGGAGAACATAGAACGACCCAGCTACACTGGAAGATTAATTGAACTGGGACAGAAGACAATGACAGTAACTTTTTATTATCATAATTTGATCTTTCCAGTTGTCTACTCAGTAACTTGTACCAGAGGAGAAACATCAGTGTTCCATTTTCTACAGAAGGAGTCAAAGCCCTTAACCTGTCCTACAAGGTACAGATGTTAGAAATTCATAAACTACACACTCATGTGGCTGCTTATTGAAAATAATTCCCAGCTGGGAGTCCTAGTCCTGTGTCACATGAACCTTAATCAAAGCAGGAGAAGGATGAGATGTTTTAAATGTCTTTACACTCTAGAACCTGTGTCTTTCCTCCCTACTCTGTTACCCTTAGCATTCTTTGTGCTCTCCCTCTTCTCCTGTACCGTTACTTTATGTCCAGGAAAAGAAATGAGAACCCTAACATAAGCTAGGTGTTTCAACGTCTAAATTTCTAATATGGCTGAATATGGCACCCTTCCGGGGATGACTTTCATTTAAATGACAGATGAGCAGCTCGGGGCTAAAGGAATAATTCTGTGTGGGAAGCCAGTAGTTGGAGTGGGGTGGGGAATGAAAAGGAAAGGTCTTCTCAGGACCTCTGAAGCCACACCATGGACCATATGCCATTTTTAAGTCCAGACCCATTCCAGGGTGACTGTCTACCTTGAGCGGCTTCTCACCCATAAAGAGTTCCTTAGACAGGAAGGAGAATCTCTTGACACTCAAGAATGAAACGCTCCACCGAAGTATCTGGCAGAGCCTACTGAGCACACATTCCTTATATGGCTTTGGGCTCAGAGAGCACAGAAGGTATGGCCACAATACCTAGAAATGCCGAATGCGTTCATCCATAGCACTGCAGCTGCATCATTTATGCACACATCTGAATCATTCCTAACACACCAAACAGACACACACAGGGTGTCAAGCAGTGACAGGGCTTTTTTAAAGAGATGGGAATTAAAAGAATAAAGTGAGTTCTGGAATAGCTTTTTCCAAAGGTTATTGCCCAGACAATCTGGTTATGCTGTCCCTAAACCTTGAACTAAGTAAAAACCAAACCAAAAAACAAACAACAAAAACAAACAAACAAAAAACCCCAAGAAACCCTAGTTCTTAAATGAGATGTGCAGGTGACCAGCACGCTGCGTTTTGGTAACACAGTTTCTTCACCTCCCATGCAGAGAATTCACCCTTGGGCAACTTCTGATGGCCATGGAAGACTGGGCGGGTGATATTCCCTTAATTTTCTAGACGACTCCTATTTTATCACATTACACATGCGTTTTGGCACGACTGACACCACCGACATTGAATGGAATCATCTGGGATTTTTTTCTCCCTCAGTCACAATATGGCTGTGGCCAGCAGAGGGGAATCCGTACCAAGGCCGTTTCCCACGTTCTGGCTGAAGAAACACAGTGACATACTTTGAAATTACAAGATCCACTGTACATGCGTCACTCTGAAGGGTGTGCACACTCTTGACTCAGGCAAGTTCAAGGGTCAGATTACCTGAAGTTGGTAGAAATGCTGAGATTTAAGCATGGCCACCGAAAGGAGTGATATAGGACCACACCCAGCGACTCACTTCCACAGTGGAAGGGAATGATTAGAGGACACGAAAGATAGAAAGCACGGACTCCGAAGAAAGTCGGAACCATTAGCGCTCCCAAGGGTGTCTGTGGAACGTCACAGTTTGGACAGACTGTGTCTTTGTCCAGACCCATCTGTGGAAGAGATGGGGCTGAGAGCTGCATTCATCCTCATGCATTTTTCCTGGCTTCTTCTTTTGCAATGAAGTTAACATCTAGAACTTGGCATGGCTCAGCCTTCCTTTCTTTAAGCTTTCTTGAGCAGGCCATGAATATCTTATTTGGTCTCAATTCATACATTCAGTTGAAGAGAAGTGACCAACGGGGGCCAAAGAGGGGTTCAGAGAAATGGAATTACCCAGCTGACAGCTCTTGATGATGGCAGGATAAGACAAAAAATGTAATGTAATATCTCAGCTAAATGGATTTGGAAATGTCATCTGGTGGTAAAGAGAGAGAGGCTGCCACCCTTCACAAAGCCAAGGGTCCAGTGAAAGAAATTCTACTTGTCTGGTTAACCCCAGGTCGGGTTCTGAATACCTGGTTCGAGGCAAATAGCACCTTCCTGACGGCAGAAGCAAGGACAAGGCGAATATAAAGTCACTACTGGCACTGTCCCTCCTGTGCTCACCCTTCTACCGCTAAACCCAACTTCCGAGACCTTCCTAAGAGAACCCTCTGGCCGCTGAGCTTTGAGTAGAGCCGGTAAGCTTTTCTGGAAAAGCATGCTCATTTGTAAGACATGCATCCAGGGCTACCTCCCTGTAACCAGATAGCACGTGCTTCAAGAAAGGAGACCTTGTGGGAAGTTTCTGGGAGTGCTTGCAGAGGAATGGAGGGGGCCGGGGAGAGGGCTGGAGCCCAGGTAGTAGGAAGAAAAGAGTCAGAGTGACTGAGGTGCTTGTTAAACATGAGAGGGGGCTGTGGGGAGATTTCTTAAGACTGAGCCTCCTGAAGCTCAGCTTACGGTTGATTTGACCTCAATTCTGGTTTAAGCCCTTTGGGGAAACTTTCCCACCCTCGGTGCCGACAGGGAAGATATGGCGCCACCAGCTTGACTTTGCACAGATGCTGGTGATCTACGGTCTACCTGGAAGATAGGAGCTGGGCCTGTGGTTTGCCTGGAGCCAAACTGGACCCGACGTCAAGCCCAGGCCGACAGGCATGACTACTTCTCGCAGGCCAACGAGAAGACTGGTGAGGTGGGAGGTGGAACACGCAGCCCTTCCCTGGCTTAGTCACCACGGCGGCCTCCATTCCCCTTCACTGTTCTCCGGACACCCTGAAGCGAAAGCCATACAAAACAATTCCCCCCGAAATGGAAAACGAAAGCCCGTAACAAAACACTTCTTCCCCATTCATTCCCATCCCGACCCCGCTCCCTCCGGCCAACACCCTGAATACTCACGAGAGAACACTTTATCTATACAAAATTAATTAGAAAACAAAATATTTACATATGAAATAAACACCATCTTGATTTCTGTCACCAGCGGAGACGCCAGAGCCCCCTTTGTTCTAGATTGCTGTTCGCTAGGTTAGTTGGTTTGGTTTTTTTATTTGAAAGGGATGAGGTAAGAGGAAGAGTGAGGGACGAGCCCCTGACCTGGGACAGAGTCGGGGCAAAGAATGCTTGACGGCCCTTCGCCTTCTTCCTCCTGGAGATGTCTCATGCCCTCTGTCCTCTCTCTCCAAGGTCCTTCCTTGAATCTAAGGTAAAGCACTCCGTGCTCCTCTCTCCAAATCTGTGAGAGGTTCAGCCCCTTGCCCCCAGGTTTGTTTTAGAAAGAAAACAAAGCTCTACAAGGCCTTCGGTTGGCTTGAAAATGAAAGATACTGAGGTAAAAATCAAGGAGGAGAGCGGGGGCAGCAGTCAAGGGCTGGGGGGTGAGGAAGGGCGGTGAGTCGGGGTGGGTGGGACTTGAAGAGACATGGCAGCTTCCTTCCAGAGGAGGATGAGCACCTTTCTGGTTTATGTGTCCTGTGTGCGACATGGAGACCCTGCAGCCAAGCCTCCAAACTGACCTGGCTCTTTGGCTACCACCCTGGGTAAGGGGACGATGGCAGGACAGTGGAACTGACCCACGGAACACGCCTACCCCAAGTTTCAGGACTGGCAGTGACAAGTATTCGTTTCCCTTCTCAAGTTTCCAACTTTGAGTGAAGGGGGTATCACATCTGCCAGTGCCCTCATCTATATATATATATATATATATATTTTATTCTTTATTCTTTATCTGGGAGGGGAAGGAGGTGTTGCAGGAAGGTGGAGGGGTTTCTACAGAGAGTGTCCACACTGGGTTCAGCGTCACATCCTCAGGGAGCCAGACCCAATGGGGTAGCGGGGGAGTCCCTTCTCGCCTCCCGTCCCCGCTTCCGAACCTCTTCCCTTCCCTCCACTGTTTCCCGAGCTGTACTCGTGGAGCAAGCTCATGCCTCTTCACTGGCTGTTCCGTATCGCTTGTGGCCAATTCAGGGGGGTAACAAGCCTGCTCTCCTAGCTCCAGGTTAAGTAAGAAGGGATCAAAGCATTGAAAACATCCCCCTCTCTCACTTACCCGACCACAAATGACCCCCCTGTCCTACAAAGCCTTACTTAGCTCCTCCCCACAAACTGGCCAGCTGAGGGTCCAAAAAGCTCAGACGAGCTTTGTACAATCTTCTGCCCTCAGGTACGGGCCAAAAGAATCCTGGCTGCTTCTACTTCCCTTTAGCCTTCCTGGAAAGTTCTTGGCCAAAACTGGTGGAATGTATTGGCAACCACGGAGGAATTATTTTTGTACGTTGCCCTTGTAGGACTGTTCACCCACGTTTTTGTCTAGGCCACAGGAACTTCTCCGTCAAGAACTTCCATTCTCTTCATTTGGGAAGGGTCAAGGGGAGAGACAGCCAAAATTCAGGTAACACAGGCCCGTCTCTGTTTGTATATAAGCCAAAACAAGCCCGGTGCTTAGGGATATTGAAAGAAACAACATTATGAGGCAAGGTTGCCTTCTCCGCATGAAAAGGCCTGATGACAGGCGTGTATAGACAACACGTGTGCAAGTGTATATAGACACACATGCACACGCAGTCCCTCCTTCCTTGCCTCTAATGCACCATGAAACACTGCTCTGATGTACTTTCCAGCATCCGCCAATGACCTTTCGTTCCAGTTCACTACCAGCTAAGTCTCATGGAATTGAAGCAAACTTTTTTTTTTTTTTTTTGGCTTATATAGAAACACACGTGGCTTCCCACCCTCTGCTTGGCGCACGATCCCCAAACACACGCCATCTAAGCAAAAAGAATTTAGCAAAAGCCTCTGTTCATTCACAGGCGGTAATGCTAAAGGCGCTTATTGGGGCGCTGTGCTTCCTCACCTAAACGTAAAGGTCAGTTCGGGGAGAGCTATCCTGCGCTCCCGTGGCCTCCTCCCGCTTCTCCGTGCTTCCCTCGAAGTGCGTGGCAAAGAGTCCTTCCACGCTAGGAGGAAGCTCGCGTGGGGCCACTTCCTTCAACCACTCCGCCCTCGCCGGCTGAGCGAGCCCACCGTATCCTCTCGCGGGAACTGGGAACTGGAAGGATGGACAGACCGGGAAGGAGGAGGGGACTGGAAAGGGAGCAGAGATGGTTCTGGTCACCAGGGTCGCCCTCAGAAGGAATCAGAACTCCAGGATCCCATAAATAAATGAAAACGACAAGAAAGGAGCAAATGGGAACCAAGTTCACCCCCGTCACCCTCTGTGACATGCGCAGCACACGTCCACAGCCCCGACCCTCCCGTACCCACCTTCGCCTCTCTCTTCCCTCACTCAGACATCAGACTCAATACTAGACAGTTTCTCATACACATGCCCATTGCTGGAGCCATTGAAAGCCCTGGGGTTTTTGTTGTTAGGCACACAGGGGTTGGACTGGTTCCCTATACAGATGTCTTTCTGGAAACGGCCTGGTACAGCCCCGTGCAGGGCCGACACCACCGGCTTGTTGGTGACAAGGGCACGGAAGTCCGGCCTGGCCTTCGGCACCCCTGCCACCGTGGGCTGCCTGAAGAAGTAGGATTTGCTGCCGTGGAGCAAGCACTGGTCGTCCCCGAAAGTGGGGATGAAAGGGTTCTGCGTGACCCGGTCGGGGTAGAGCGACTTGCTGAGCATGTAGCTGCCGCCGCCGCTGCCGCCGCTGCCGCCGCTGCCGCCGCCGCTGCCGCCGCCGGGGTTGCCATGGTTGCCGTGGTGGTGATGTCCCGCGGCCGGCGCCGCCGCCTTGCCGTTGCCGAAAGCGCTCTCGCCCGCCGGCATCTCAAACATGTGCGCGTAGGGACTGCCGTCCAGGAAGCGGCCCTTGTCTTTCAGGCTCACGCTGCGCGGGGCCAGGGCGGCCTCCTCCTTCTGCAGGTCCACGAAGGTGTCGTAGGAGTGCTGGCGCCGCAGCTTGTTCCGGGTCTTCTTCTGCGCCTTGGAGTTGGTCGGGCTCTGGGGGTACTTGGCGGCGGGCGCGCTGGACGGCACGGCCACCGGGGCGGCCGGCTGCTCCAGCTCCTGCAGGGAGCTGTCCTCGCTGATGTCGTACAGCTTGCCGGCCTTCTTGCACGCCTCGCAGCGGATGCACGCCTGCCTGCCCGAGTTCTGCCCGGCCACCGCGCTCGAGTAGCTGTGCAGCTTGGACGGGCAGCTGCGGCAGAAGTTGCCCCCGGAGCGCTCCTCCCAGTCCACGCTGGTCAGGTTCTTCTCCCAGGGGGCCGGGACCCCGCCGACTCCGCCGTGCTTGTCAGCCGGCCCGTGCTTGAGGTGCGACCGGTTGGTGCAGGGCCCTCCTCCGCCCACCGAGTCACGCTTAAAGTCCTCGCCGCGCTCCTTGTAGATGTCGGTCAGGTCCACGTGCTCCCAGTGCGGCGAGGTCTCCTTGGTGCGGAACTGGTCCAGGTAGAAGTCCCGCAGCCCCTCCTTGTCCCTGAAGTAGCGCTTGTGGTCGGGGGAGCGGGGCGGCCGGCGGCGGTAGGCCAGCTCGATCTCGTCGAACTCGCGGCGGGACTTGGCCGAGGCCGGCCTCTTCTTCAGGCTGTCCTTGTACTGCTGCTTCCGCCTCTTGGCCGCGTTGCCCTCGATGTTGCCGTAGGTGACCGTATGCGTGGAGATGTCCGACACGTCGGAGCGGATCAGGTCGTCGTGGCCGCCGTAGCGGTCGCTCTTGAACGAGAACTTGCCGTACAGGTCGCTGAGCTGGCTGTGCTTGGAGGAGGGGAGGCCGATGTCCAGGGGCTTCTTGCCGAGGGACCTGGGCTGCGTGGTGAAGGGCGGGTTGTCGCAGTCATAGAGCCCGTCGATGGAGCTGGTGCTGCCGATGCTGTGCGGCCGGTGGTGGGGGTCCTGGTACGCGTTGCTGTCCTTCAGCTGCAGGTTGCCGAAAGTCCTCTCCACCTCGCTGATGTAGTCGCTGAAGAGGTTCTCCTCGCAAGGCGGGTTGTTGTAGGATTTGCAGTCAGAGTGCGTGAAGCTGCGGCGGTGCTCGGAGATGTCGTAGACGGACGACTCGCGGCGGATGAAGTCCAGGGCGCTCTGTGGAGAGCCGTTCACGCCGGACAGGTTGGCCATGTTCTTGGCCGTGCGGAGAAGACGCAGGATGTTGGAGTGTGTGTTGTTCATGGTTGCGGTGGGGGAATTCATCACGGATTGGCGCTCCTCGATGGCCACCCCGTGGATGCAGCTGTAGATACCCTGGAGGGAGGATGGGACCGGTTAGGTCTCCGGCGAGGCAGGAAGTGACCATAAACAGCACCCCCCAACCAACCCACCACTGACTGCCCAAGTGGATGAGAAAAGTCAGAGCGGACATGAAAGGGATGGTCTTACACACTCACAGAAACATATGGCTAGAAGCTTGCCTGCCTTATCCCCCTGCATTTAGCAAGTCGCATCACGAGCTGGCAGCCTGGCGATCCAGAGGGAACACGGCTACACCGAGTGACTTGAACAAATGGATTCGAATTGCAAGACAGGACATTCTTGCCTCAACTCCACTACTGACTCCAATTGATTTTCCTTTCCGTGCTGAGGTTTTTGTGTCTCAAAAATGAGGCCATGATAGCGACTGATAGCAAAAAATATTGTCAGCCTTCTGGAAATCAGGAGCAATGCTCTACAGGTGCTGGGGCTTTTCGGCCCTGGCTGGTCACCCTTGGCTGGCAGTAAAGTGCGGCGGAGCCCAGGCGCTCACAACTGCCACTCTTTCCCGGCTCTGACAAGCTTTGAGCAGCTTTTAGGATTTGGGTCACCAAATCACAACTGAGCAATTCTCTTCTTGAGCCAAGCGTGAACCAAATTCACAGAGACAGTCAGGCAGCCCTGAGGTCAAAGAGGGATTTTTCTCCTGCTGTGCCCTATACCGGGGCAGGAAGGACCTGGGACAGATATGCCAGTACTAAATACTAATAAAGAATGCCCTTGTTGGGGAGAGGGAGGTGGGGGAGGGATGGATTGGGAGTTTGGGGTTAGCAGATGCAAACTAGTATATATAGGATGGATTAAACAACAAGGTCCTACTGCAGAGCACGGGGAGCTACATTCAGTAGCCTGTGATAAACCATCATGGAAAAAACTATGAAAAAGAGTGTATATATGTGTATAACTGAGTCGCTTCGCTGTGCAGCAGGAACTAACACAACACTGCAAATTAACTGTACTTCAAGAAAATAAATAAATAAATAAAAGAATCTTGTGGAATCCTCTCCTTTATTCTCTCCTTAGCTCCTGGTTTCCTCCTTATAGTTTCTCACTCAGTTACTCTGATCATAAATAATTAATATCTTAACAAATTAGTATTGACTGAGAACTCCCTGTGTGTGCGGCTCCTTGTGCAGAGCCCTGAAGAACACCGTCCAGGAGAGGGAAAGGCTTGGGCTCAAGTCTAAAGTCAGGCCAACCTCCTGCCAGTCTCTTGCCCCCTGCCTTGAAAGGTGGACACATTTGGAACTTTTCTGCCTGGCAAGGGAAGGTCTCTGCAGAGGAGGTTGTTTGAACTGTATCTTTAAAACTAGGGGGATAAATTTGGAAAGGGGCTGTCCCAATGGAGGGGCGCGGGAGCAGAGAAGATTAGAAAGGAGAACGGCAGCTACATGGGAAAGAAGGAAGATTTGCATATGATAAGCCTCAGTTTCCCTGAGGCAGCAGTGAGATAAGAGATCTTTAAGAGAAGGTTCCTCTACTTGCCTTCTCAGGCCTCCTTTCTAACCCTTCTTGATTATGGCCAGGAGAAAATGCACTTTTCCTCTACAGAGCCATTGATTATGTCGAGGGGCTACAAATGGGATTTCTATTACAGGTTCCCCCCACTGCTGCCATCCCCCTCTCTGGAGAGGTCTTGGGAAGGGCCATGCGGTGCAACGACGTGGCTCAGGGACCACTAGTCCCAACCTCCTGCTCCCAGGTAACTGAATGGCCTGCAGCAACTCACAGCCAGAGAGGACACTTTCTCTATCAACTAAAATACTACAGGAAAATGATCAAAAGATGAAACAATTTAATGAGTACTCCATTTTCTCATATAATTCCATTAGAGACAAAGTTGGTTATTTACGTCTGAAGCCTAGACCTCTATTTGAAGAGGACATTTGAGTTCACCTCTCATGAATGAATCCCATAACTTTATTAACAAATTCAAAAGAAGTCTTTTTTTTTTCTTTTTTTTAGCTCTTCCCTGTGACCCTCTGTTCATATTCAAAACTGTGTTCAAAATCTCATTCTGGACTAGACGCACAGAAGAGCACTAAATAAAGAACGACTTGAGTTATACTCTTGCTCAAATTAAGGAAGTTTCTGGAATGCAAATTTCTTACAGGTCAGGACTTATTTCTGAAGGTTCTGTTAAGATCTTTAACTCCCCAAACTCACACATGGTTAAAACATAGAGTAGGACGGTGAAATAACCAACAATATACCTTTGGATGTCAGAATAAGAGAGATATATTTCATGATTTAAATAGAAATGTGATTTTTTAAAAGGATTAAATGATTAATCCAACCTCTGCAGAATTAACTAATGGTGATGAAAGGCATCTGGGAAAAGGCCAAATGTTTCATTCTGATAGATCTGCCAGTTCTTATTGAGAACCAAATGCCCAAACCCCACACAGAAATCTGTTTCTTGAAGGAAAAACTGCATCACCTGTTTTTTGAGCCACTTGAAATTATGTCATCCCACCCCCCTGGGGAAATGTACGTGATGTGGCTTCTCGCTTTAGCAGCCTCAGGCTGGAGTCAGTGCCCTCCTGGCTCTCTGTGCTCTGCACAGTGAGCTGTCTTTCCCAAGCTCCAAGCACCTGAATCAAAGCACTTACTCTGCTGATGGAGAAGACCATGCCAGGCTTGCCAGAACACACACCCATAAAGCAGTGTCTGAACTGCCAATAGAAGAGGTGTTCGCAAATGAAGGTGATGAGGCTGAGAGCCATGGCGGCCCCCAGCATGTAGAAGACGCCCGCCATGTTGTCAATGTCCAGCTGGCTGCTCATGACCTCATTCTTCTCATTGTGGCAGATGCCCGTGAGCCACAGAGCTTCCAGCTCCTCCATCTCCCCTGGAGGCGGGACGGGAAGGAGAACAGGCAGAGAGAGGAGAGAGGGCAGAAGTAGAGAGGGGGGGCGAGAGGGGTGTTGGGGAAAGGAGAGGAAAACATGAGAGAGAAAGAGAGAAGGAGACATAAAGAAAGAAAACCAACAGAGAAAGTTAGGATTTTATTAAATACCGTTATGTAGTAACTTATCGATGTATTCAGGTATTCAGTGAAAACGATAATGTGGATACCACCGGTGACACAAAGACAGGAGACATTACCTCTGTGCCCCATTACCTACCCAGTGTAAACTGGTATATAAACAATCAGTATGACAAGCTATATGCAGGTCACAAGAGCTGCCTGAATTAGAGTAATTTTGCAGATGGGTGGCCAGTGGGTTTTCATGAGGAATGTAGGACTTGGAGGTGGGCATGGTGAATGGGTGAATTTTAATTTATATTGCACAAAAAGGCACTCCAGGCAGCAGAAATAGCATGATCAAGGGGAGGAAGGTAGAAAATCACAAGGCGTATTTGGGAAAGGCAGGCAGAACGAGTCAAACGAGTAACAGTAGGCAAAGGAAGCTGAATACAAAAGGTTGATGCAAGATCGCCGAGGGCCCGAGTATCAGACTAAAGCACTTTGAACTTTTTCTTGCTGTTGTTGTAGACAGTGAGGAACAACATAACCGAACAAGCGATTCAGAAAATTGCTCTCAAAAAATGTGCAAAGCAGATTGGGTCGGGGGGAGGACAGACAGAGACATATCGGCAGAGAGATTGATTGATTCCCTAGAGGTCCTCAGGCTTCCTGATCTCTTGTTGAAAATATAAATGTTCACAGTAAAAGGGAGGAAGCTGCAGTAAAATGACACCACCAAATTCGGACCTGCCTCCTTTTAACGCTGCTTGAGGAAGTTTTGATTAATTCAAGTCATGCCAGGTAACAATAACCGTGATCCACTTCAGTGGATACTAGGAATTAGAAAGGTAGAAATCGTAGGCAAAAGGAAAATGACAGAAACCATATGCCCGAGAATGCATCTAATTCCAGAGAAGCGAAAATCTGAAAATCTCATGAAGAAAATTGCCTGTTCCAATAGTTCCAGTTTGGTTCAAAATGTGAACCTTGTCTGAATAATCTGACCGAAGCCCTGGCAACTTCTGCAAATTGTCTCTATGGCTGCACTTCCTCGTGGATAGAGGCCCCGTTATTGCCTTTAAGTGACAGCTGCATTACAATGACAGAAACTCTTATACCAAAATGGCTTGTAACCCTCCACCTAGAACCCCCTCCTCTTTCCAACGTTAATCAAATCACTTTTTACTCATATCTTGGATCAAAGTATGATTTTCCTAACTAGGGAACAACTGACTTCACCCAGAGTCTGACAATCTCCCTATGCTCCTCTGCTTCTTCTCGCATCCCTAACAGCAAAGATTCTGCAGACAGAACTTAGGGAACCGCTTGGTTGATGGCCTGTGAGGCCAAGTAGAGTCAGGCTGCTCATCCGTAACTGGATTAGCTTCTGTGAGACGAACAGGAGGAGTAGGTGCTTTAGACAATAAAGTGAAGAGGGGTGCGGAAGGCGTGAGTGTAATGAAACAGAAGATGAGATTTCCTCAAAGCAAGCTGTCTGCTCAGTCTGCTGCGAGAATCACTCTGGGGGGTGAGTGCCTTCCGGTGTCTGTCTCTGAGGACCCTGGCCCTGCTTCCTCCCTCTTCCAGAGGGAAAAGCAAGATGGGAGAGGGAAGGATGAGCAGATGGCCACGTGTGGATTTCTCTGCCCTTTCTCTGGGCCCAGAGAGAGCAGAGACCTTTCCAAAATCCCATCCACTGCTCTGGCCACATGTGAGAAGACTGTTTGGGGAACTTCTGATCTCAGCCCCTCTTACTTTATCCCTGAGGGTTTGATCACACCCTGCAATCCTGAAACACACCTCCTTGACTGACTAATCCTCTCCCCCAAATTTCACCCTGGGTTGGATTGTATAACCACGCCCCACTGCCCCCCACAGTTCCTTTGTTGAAGTCCTAACTCCCAGTACCTTGAAATGTGACTTTATCTGGAAGTAGGGTAATTGCAGATGTAACTGGTTAAGATGAGGTCACCTGGAAACGGTGGGCTCCTAATTCAATATAACTGGTATCCTTAAAAAGGGAGGGAATCAGACATAGACATGTACAGAGGGAAAACATGCACACAGGGAGAAAGCCATGTGAACATGAAGGTAGAGCAGGGGTGATGCATCTACAAGCCAAGGAACACTGTAGACTGCCAGCAAACCACGATGAGCTTAGGGGAGAGGCATGGAGCAGATTCTCCCTCGAGTCCCTCATTAGGAACCAAAGCCGACACTTTGATCTTAGGGTTCAGGCCTCCAGAACCTTGAGCCAAATGTCTGTTGTTTAAGTCACTCAGTTTGTGGTACTTTGCTTCAAAGCGTTAGGAAACTAATAACATATACCCTCCAAATCTCCTAGTATACTGTGAAATGCTTTTCTGGAAATGCAGAGGTTAGAGGGATGAGGAAGGAAGAAGGGTTGATGTTTCGGACTGGCCATCGGGAGAGGCCAAATAGGCACTGTCCCCTTCTTTAACTCACCATCTCCGAAGAGCTGCAGGATAGCAAGGTCCACCTGGCGCTTCCATCCAGAATCCTTTTGGATGGCAATGCCATAACCAGTGGAAGCAAAGACCTTCCCGCTGCCAATGGTCACCAGCTTGCAGCCTTCGTCTCTGCCTGCCATGTAGTTCAGCACTGCTGCATCGTAGATGAAGGCATCCAGTTTCCTGTGCGAGGAAGAAACAAACAAAGCAAGTCCAGTGGAGGAATTTTAGTACAAAACTACCACTGGGGTCATTAATAGGAAGCAGTAGGGCTCCAGCAGACTATGGGGGGAAGTGGCTCAAAGTAAGGCTCAAGGTGGAACTTGGCCAGAAACTAAAGCCTAAATCCCAGGCTGTTCTTTGTGTGATTTCAGGTTGACAGGAGGAGTTCTCTCCCTCCCACTGGGAATGATGAGAATGTAAGCTGGGCCTGAAGCCAACTCATAAGCTGTGTCTGAAAGGAGAAGGAGTAAAAAGGAATCAATAAAAATAATAACAGAAATAATGAAAAGGAACCATCACAATGATAACAACAATAGCACGGGTTAGACTTATATACCAGTTTTCATTTCTCCGTTCATTACAGTCCGGAGTGGGGTAAGTGCAGGTAGACGTGTAGCACTAGATGGGCAATGCTTTGTTTGCAGCCAGAAGGGTTTCAATGTTCTGTTCTGCAGCGCAAGGAGAGAAGTGCGTCATCGGGGTGGTGGCAGGACAAGCTTGTGTCAAGAGCCAATGTGTGAAGCCACAAGCCAATGCAGCATGCAGGAGAATTCCGAGGTCTCAAATTCCCAAACGTATGAGAATCTCATGGCACATACTGTGCTTTTCAAGGAAAGACTATACAGGGAAGGGGGTAAAGCTAGGGGCGGGGTCAGGAAGGTATAGGTCAGTATTTAAACACATCAAAGGGGGAAGAAGAAGTTGATATATTCATATAGGTAATAGAGAGGTCTGCAAGACAGAAGGGCAGCCATCATCCTCTTCACCTTTACAAGTTCAGTCAGCTTTACTCCTCCTTAAGAAAAAAGAGACCCTTTCTGGCATGATAAGACACAGAACATTTTTTCAAAAGGCCTGTGAGTAACCTTTAGGAGGGGTGTCCATCAAAAAGCCAAAGCTCTGGGCTTCCCTGGTGGCGCAGTGGTTGAGAGTCTGCCTGCCGATGCAGGGGACACGGGTTCGTGCCCCGGTCCGGGAAGATCCCACATGCCGCGGAGCGGCTGGGCCCGTGAGCCATGGCCGCTGAGCCTGCGCGTCTGGAGCCTGTGCTCCGCAACGGGAGAGGCCACAAAAGTGAGAGGCCCCCGGAAAAAAAAAAAAAAAAAAAAAAAGCCAAAGCTCTGATCCACAGCTGTGATTGTAGCAGGGACCAGACTGCCCGGAGTGGCCCACCCCAAACTCAAATCCCATCTTCTGAAATCTGCCGTGACTTCATAATGATAAGACAGCGCCTAACAGTATTTAAGTAAACATGCATCTGGATGGTTCTTCCAGAACCAGAGCCACCAGGAGGTCTAAGTGTTGCTAGTTAACCTACAACACAGGAAATCAGCTATGAGGCCCCAGGACCCTCAAATTCCAACAACTCCCATGGTCAATTGTCTGTCTTACTCTGCAGCTGTGGCTTCTGAAGGCCAAATGAATGAATGTGGCTGAGATTATGCAAGCAAACCTATCTGCAGTTCATGAGCTCCTTTTAGTGAATGAACTGAGATTATAGAGCTGGAGCATGGAGAATGCCAATTTTGTTGGAATTGGAGATCGCTTAACACATTCTTACTGTGTGTTGTCTAAAAACTTTTACCCTTTCATTGTTTATTTCTCCCTGTCCATAAGACACCAAAATCATCATTTTCACCTTTTGGTCAACAGGTCTTTATTTCGTGTGTAACGTGTGAACTTTAGCCTTGACTCTCCCCTTTGACTTTTACATCTATTACATTCTTGTTTCATGTTTACATTAACGCAAGTAGAATACAGTTCATTAAAAATACATAGAAGTGAATAATGGCATAGGGATCTCTGTGCACTGGCCTGAATTACACTGTCACTTTAACTTGGAGATCCACAAAGAGCAAACACAGCCTGCTTTGCTTTAACGTGGTGTGGCACCAAGCATGGCACATCTGATTCCATGTATGTTTCATAAACGCGAGCAACGTATCAAAGGTTCTGAGCTTGGAAGCAGTTCTTACCCGGTTTTCAGGGAGAGCAGTGCATCGTCCACACCCCTCTGGTTGAATTTCCCCATGTAGGCGTGCATTTCCGCATAGTTGTTGCGAATGTTCCTCTCCGTGCTGCCGTTGGGCACAGTGCCAAAGCGGAAAGGGGGTGAGAAGTCATTAGGTCTCTGGAACTGGAGAGGAGAGAGAGAGAGAAAGAGAATAATATGAGGACTTCAGAAAATGTGAAGAGATATTACGTTAGCATTAGTGGATTTATCACGGAAGGGACAAACAGAAGTTCACCAAATACATTAGCCCTCACTCAGGAGCAGCAACTGCTATCTGAAAGTGAACTGCAATTCAACTCAATTTATTCCACGTTGTTGAGAGCTTTCTATCTGCCCACCCTTGACTTGAATCTGTAACACTTGTGTGCCGCGTTTATGCACGCTGCACAAAACCAGGGATGATGGAAAAGTGCTATTAGCTTAACTGCAGTGGGCTGGTTACCTTTATTTCTGAAAATTGTGTGAAATCTGCTTCCAGGCCCCTTCGTTGCACTATCAAGGCTATAGGACCTTAGTGAGGTAAGCTACATCATACTCCTGAAAATCACTTGTTGGATAGCAAATATGTTTTGCTAAGAAGTTTTCTCTTGACCTTGCTTGATGCTTTAAAAGCCCATGTTTATCCTACATGAGTTGTAGGATAAATTGTAAAAGCAAATGCAATTTTAATTATGTTCCCTCTCGTGTTTAAGAACTGAGTGTGGATTACCAGGGCTTAGCATCACAAAGTGCAATCTCTTGGGTTTTCACCCCTATGACATCAGCTTTATTTCTGGCCATTGCCCGGCAATGAGCAAGTCTTTATGTTGCTTCCTGAACACACAATTCATTCATTTGTACCTTCACAGCCTCATAGAGTCTGTTCCCTCAGCATGAACTCACATTTCTCCCCGGGCCAATTCATGTCCTTCACCTCAACATGTAACTCAAAGCAATTTCTTCAGGACAATTTCTATGAGTTCTTCCTTCCATCAAGTCTACCCAACAGTGACCCACCAGTACTCTCTGTTCTTGGTTTAGATCATAATTAATACTACTAATTCATTTACTTTCTAAATGAGCTGGCTAAGTTCTGAGAGCTAGTCTCTGACGTAGTCATGAAGCTCTAGATTGAGACAGATATGGACTGAAGAGCAGCTCTGCCACTTACTACTGTGTGACGTGGGGCAAGTAACAGGAGTTCTCTGTGCATCATTTCCTCATATGTAATAAGGAGACAATAATGTCTACTTTTCAAGATCGTTGTGTGTTGTATTAAATGACACAATGTACAAGAAGTGCATGGCACAGCATCTTGCACACAGCAAGTGCTCAAAGAAGACCCCTTATATTATTTTAAATTCATGTCTATATTCTGCATTCCCTAGTAAACTTCATACTTTCTAAGTTTCTCATTCTATTAGAACAGCAATGATCAGATGGAATGTGACCAGAGTGTGTGGTCATATGTGCTGTGCCTTGGTATAGGAAAGACAATCTAGATATTTGAAGTCCACTTGGTTTCAACACTATACCATTTACTGTGGAGATACATTTGAAAATCTAACTCAGGAGTACTCTGAAGCTTTGGAGCTGTCTGGGCTTCAAGTCATTCTCCTTTCTCCCTCCCTTGACCTGAGACACTCAAGAGCTTCTCAGAATATGGGGATTTCATGGACCACAAAATGTCACAGCACCAGGAACCATAAATGCCATCTTCATTGCTTAAAGTTGGCCATAGTTAAAAGTAAGGTCATGCAGTGGTGTTTGTTAGGTAATCTGAGACGCATCAAAAGACCACTACTTTCTGACTTACCGTGGTGCTTTTTGCCATTAAGAGTTTCTGTTTAATTATTTTTAAACAGGTTGTGATTTTTAAGTGAAAAAAAAAACACTATAAAAGAGTCAAAGAATTTTAGAGTTGGATGAGCCACTCAAGGTTAACTAGTCCAAACCTTTCATTTTACAAATGAAGACAGAGGCCCACAGAGGACAAGCAATTTGCTCAATGTCCCACAGCAGCAGTGATGGCTAACATTATCAGGAATCAGTTGGCTTAATTAATAGTATTCCTCATGGTCCCCAGCAGATAACAAGTTTAAAGTAAACAGGGATACATTTTGTTGGAAGAGACAGAATGCTGTGCGTAGAACTGTCAATTATAACACTTCAGATGTTTGAAAAAAGGTATCCCCCAATCAAAAGTAGAGTAGATACCATGGCAGGCAGCAGTATAACCAGATGAGCTCCCTTTAATCAGTAATCCCCCACTTTGCTAGGACAATGACAACTGATGCTCACAGGGTCCAAATACTAGGGTCCAAAGTATTTTCTGAAACATCGATGAAAATTGAAATCATGTCCAGTACAACTCTGGTATAAATTTTTATGTTCTAGTTGTCTTGAAAATCGGCAATCCATGTAAGGTAGATACAATAATTTTTCTTAATTAAAAATTTTTTATTTAAGTATAATTGATTTATAGTGTTGTGTTAATTTCTGCTGTACAGCAAAGTGACTCAGTTATACAAATATATATTATTTTCCATATTCTTCTCCATTACGGTTTATAACAGGTCATTGAATATAGGTCCCTGCGCTATACAGTAGGGCCTTGTTGTTTATCCATTCTATATATATAATAGTTTTCATCTGCTAATCCCAAACTCCCAATCCTTCCCCTGCCCCCCGCCTCTGCCTTCCCCTTGGCAACCACAAATCTGTTCTCTATAGATACAACAATTTTTGATTAACCAAATGGAATGCGATACCCAGAGTGCCTCACATCCTGATGAAGCTAGATTATGGAAAGTTTCCATACTACTCTTAATTAACTTTAATTTCTAAGTTATCTTTAGATTTCTAGATGCTGTTTTATAACTATATCTTTGAATACATAAATACTAAAGAAATAATAAAGGACCTAGAATAGCCAAGATGACCTTGAAGAAGAAGAACAAAGCTGAAAGACTTATACTACCTGACTTCAAGACTTGTAAAGCTGTAGTAATCATGACAGTGGGATATTAGCATAGAGGGAGTAAAGAGATTATGGGAACAGAATGGAGTGCCCCCAATAGACCAACACACGTATGGTGCAAAGGTGATTCAGGACAGATAGGACAGTCTTCAACCAGTGGTGTCAGAACAGCTAGCTATTCATAAGCAAAAAAACCTTCATTCCATACCTCACAAGATATATAGAAATTAACACAAAGTAGATCATATATCTAAATACAAATCCTAAAATTATAACATTTCCAGGAGAAAATATAGGAGAAAGGTTTTGTCACCCTGAGTTAGACAAAGGTTTCTTAGATATGACACCAAAGTACAATCCACCACAAAAAAAAGATAAATCGGACTTTGTTAAAATTAAGAACTCTTTGAAAGACACCACTAAAGTCATGGAAAGACAAGCCACTGGCAAGATAAAAATATTTGAAAACAATTTAAAGCTATTAAGGAACTACAGGAATTAAATAAGAAGATAGCAAGACTCTTGAATAGTTAAAGCATCTTCCATCGGAAAACAATCAGAGAAATCAGCCAACACTAGAAGAATGGAAGGTGTGGTCCTGTGGAAAACATTGGTCTTGGAGGCAGATAATTTGGATTTGAATTCCAGATCTTTCTCTGACCAACTGCATGACCATGGGCAAGTTATTTAAATTCATGGAGCCCCATTTTTCTGGAAGTATTATTTTTAATTAATACTGAGATAATATCTGGGATTACTTAAACACAATATCTGGCACATGGTGGATTCTCAAAACTATTAACTGCTTCCATGAGGATGACGTTGTAATATCTAAAATTGTCCTATGTTAGATAATGTTCCCTAAGATGGAAAACTCTTGTTCCCTAATTTGTTCCTTAAACTCAGCCAGTCTGGGGACCAAAAGGGTGAGTGTATCACCCCACAATTAGCCGAAGCAGAAGCAGAAGTGAGCCTGCCTTTTCCTTTGAAGATTCTTGTCCCAGCTTGGTGAAATTTAAATAAAACCCTAGATTTTTCAAAAAACTGTCATTGGAACTTGAATTTTACTAAAATTCATGGCCATGGAGAACGGTATTTTTAGTGAGGAAGAAGGAAAAAAAGAATCCTCCAAATTCCACCTTGATGCTTCCACTAAATTTATTCCTGTAATAAATTTATTCCTGTAATAAATTTATTCCTGTGATAAAACTTACCCCAAGCTGGGAGGCATTGCATGGCACTTACTTAACCTGAATGACAATCTGTGCTCTCTGGGGTTTGGGGAAGGAGTAAAATTTAGTACTGTCCAGAACCGGAAGTCTTAAAAATCCATAGAACAAGAAGGACTCTAAGAAACAAATTTTTAAAATATTAAAAAACCCAATACACCAAGGAGACCAGCATTGAATTAAAAACCTCAGTCTGATTTTCAAATAGGGAATTTTATATAGTATTCCTTATTAGTCACCTTTGGCCATTATAGAGCTTCCTTGAACTTGGAATCTTTTTCCAGAGCCACCCTGGTCGGGATTCTAAAAACATACAGAGGAAAATAAAAACGCAGAAAGGAAGGAACTTGGGGGATGGATCCCATTTCACAGATGAGGAAACTGAAGCTCTGAAGAGACCAAGGAAGTTGTTCCAGGCCACGTGGTGAAATAGGAGGACCAGCTTATAGGGCTTGACCCCGAGCTGAGTCGTCCCACTGCGGCTCAAATACCAGCCCCCTGGTTCTACTGCTCACTGGGGAGTGAAGCCACGCACTGTGGAGCCACCCGGTGAGGGTATCCTTCCCTTCCTGTCATATCAGATGCCAACACCTCCTTGGGATTCAACACAGGGTGTCCAGCCATCACTGCAAGCACACTCTCGCACAAGGGCAAAACAGTGCCAGAATGTTAAGAGACCTGTAATCTCTCTTGATCCTCCTGGAGAGCTGCCGGGAATCAGAATTCAGCACTCTGAACTCCTCAGACCATCATCTCAGCCCCCATCTTAATGACCTCAAAGTGAGTCAGTCTTGGCAGTGAGGCAAGGAGAGAGGTGAGGAGGCCAGGAGCAAAGGCCCTTTTCCCCACCCAGAGATGGTGGGATTAGGGGGCACTGGGGCTGCCCCTTCCCAACAGAGAGGCTCTCCCGCAGCCTGCTGCAGAGGGAAAGGGAA